GGGTGCCTCTCTTTTATAGTTAACTCAATCCCTGTCCCACTAGAAATGAACTTTTGCTCAGTGTTTATCCTGGACTCTCTAATAGATAAAGATAAACTCTCTAAGAGTGTTATCCTTATCCATGCTAAAGTCCTTCATCATTCTAGGACTCTTGTCCCTTATCCACTTTATCTCGGATTCCGATATCTTCGGAGATAACCTCGGCCTTGCCGAGATCATTTCGGCGTTATGTCCTGGACACGTGGCACCTCAGCTTACATGTCAGTGTTACCTTGGCCACATGTTGGGACCCAGAAAATATATCCCCACATATGGGAATGCATTTCTTTTTCATTTGGAATATTCAAACCAAGTAAGTTTTATTTTCTTTGTTATTTTTCTCTTATGTAAAGATTATTAATAAGAATGAGCGGCTTGGAGATAATATGATTTATAGATTCAATGTAGATTGGCTCAAGTGACGAGTGCGTCAAGTATATTATATAATCAACAACTAGTAACAAAATCGAAATAAATTTTTATTAAACAGGTATAACCTAGCGATGCTGTACAAGACAAAATTTTATGTGAGAATGTTCAGATGAATATGTTGTAAAATTATGAAAGATATAATTAGAAATGAATTTGTAGTGCAACGATTTCTGGCTCCTTTCCCAGAATGTGACTAAGGTTTTGATGGTATTCTTGCGCAAGAATTAAACAACCAGGGTAATCAATTGGAAGTTTGGTCAAGTAAATATTCTATCTGATACCTAAGTTTGCTCTTTCTTTGTTTCAAAAGAACTTGATGGTGTACTGCAAGATATATTTCAGATACATTCAATAGTTGGTCTTTCCTTATTTATAGAAGCAAGATGGTTTGCCATCATCACCTTTCTTCACTCTTGGGCCACGCCTGAACACGCAAGGGTTGTCCTCGTCATTCTTGCCTGTCTATGACCAAGGCCGGCCCTGAGATTTAGGGATCTAAGGCGAATTTCAGAAATGGAGATCTCTCTTACATTGAAAAAAAAAAGTTACGATAAGGTAACTTTTTTATTTGTTTGTAGTTGCAAAAAATTTTCTTACATATATAATCATTAAAGTTATAAACAAAACAATTTAATGAAACAAAATTATGACAAAAAAATTAGGAAAAAATTATTCAATTAAAATTGATAAAGACCTAAGTAAAAAAATTAGGACAAAATTATTTATTCTACTAAAATCTAATAGATAAAGAAGGTAAAAAAAAAATAGGCCCATATATTGTATGTATTGTTCTTTTTGGGCCCAAACACTTTTTTTTTTAATATATATTTTCATTTTAATAAATATGGATCAAACTACACTTATAAATAAATTTGGGCTAAACTATACATGGACTCAATAAAATATTTTGGGACCTTTTAAATTGATTCTAAAAAAGAAAAAATATTGAGCCTATAACATTTTATTAAATTTGAGGCATAAGGCACAAACTTTACCGGAATTAGGTCAGGACGGCCCTGGATATACGCACAATGGTGGGAAGATCACTTACCTCGCAATGAATGTTAATTAATTATTTGTAGAGAGCTAAAATGAAATGTCACTTGTGAGGTAGAGCATTTCGAGGAAAACCAAAACAGTAGAGTCCTTTAGGAGAAGACCAAAATAACTTCACCATTATACTTGTGTTAAATAATTTACTTCAAAAAAAATTAGTTATCAAGTGTCTTACGGTTAGTGGACATTTGTTAACAAATTTAAAATTATTATAAATATATATTTTACATAAAAATGAGTATTATAAAAGAGGGACTGAATTGATCGTGAAGGGAACCCCACCTATTTCGGCTGTTTTTGGTTTGATTTTGGGAGATAAATTTTTAAAAAAGATTTTAGAGAGAGAGTTAAGAATTTTTTTTTGTTTATTTAGTTGTATATTTTGAAAATAGTTTTGGAATATGAGAATTTGATATGATTTGATATTTGGTTATAAATGAGTAGATGTGTGTGAGAGAAAAAGTGATTGATTGATGTGTAAGAGAGAGAGTGATTTTGAATTTTTTTTTTTCCAAAATCACTTAACCAAACAAAATTTTTAAAAAAATTCTCCAAAATCTATTTCTCAAAAGCAAATCAAACAAAGCTTTCATCTTTGTTTTGATGAAGTTGGACCGGACCGGATTAATAATCCATTTGGACTACTAATCGCATTGTTGAAGGGGATTTCCAATCCCGGGGTATTACTTCTAGGGGGTGTTTGTTTTGGAAGGATTAGGCATGTGATTGGGCTAGTAGTTCGGATCTGTTGTTTGTTTCAAAAGTTTTGTTCTGGACTATTAATTTCATATTTGTGAGACTATGGTATCCCATAGGAGTGGGACAAAATAACTCATCCTGTGGGATTATCTAATAAAATTACGTTTTTGCCCTCGGTATTTAATTTTGTATTATATTTAGTAAAATTTAATAAAATTTAAATGTCTCAATTTAAAAATAAAATAATTTAATTTAATTTTTATTTTTGTTTTATTTATTTAATTTTTTAAAAATATTTTATTGATGTTTTATTTTAAAATTTTGTTTATATTTTATTTAATTTCATTATTTAAATTTTAATAGATGTTTTATTTTATTTCATTATTTAATTATTATTATCATTTAAAATAAATTTATTTAAAATTTTAATTAAAAAATAGCATATATTTTTATTGATATTTAATTTTTTTAATTTTTTAAAAATAAATTTATTTAATTGTGCAAAAAATAAAATAAAATAAATTTTTATTTAATCTAGCTAAAAATAATTAAAATATTAAAGTTATGTTTAATATTGCTATTGCTTAGTAAATAATTGAAAATGATAAAATAGTCATTTGAGCATTTATCCTTCTCTATAATATCCCAAACAAACATTAGATTCACTAAAAATAGTCCAATTCAGACATCTAATTCCATTACTAAACAAACATAGGATATCAATTCAGTCCAACCAAATAGTCTAGGGATAATATATCCCAGGACTAATAATCCGATGAATTATATGGGATAGTTTTTTTAAGGTCCCTGATATTATGATTTTATATTATAAAGGACATCAAATATTTTGATGATGTCTATGGTCCCTGAATATCAATCCAAAGAAAATTAGTCCAGAGAAAATTCAAGTCAGAGAAAATTGGTCCAGAGAAATTTTATCTCTGCCCTTTTTTTTTTTTGAACATAAGAATTCTCCTACCTCAACTCACTTCCTTGCTTCTCAAAGGTGAGGAAGAAAGGCAACTTCTCTAACCGAGGAGCCTCCAAAAAACAGATGCAGAGAGGTGTTTGGTCCAGGCCATGAATATGAAGCAGTGATAATGGAACAAATTTATGCAGTTCATCTATCGTATCCGTTATCATGAACCCAGAGAAATTTGAATTTTCTTTGGGTTGAATTCATAGAAAATTTAAATTTCTCTGGGTTGAATCCAGGGAAATTTAAGCGGCAGCTGTGGGGGGATTCGAAATGAGCCAGCGTTCAAGCATGTGGAGGGCGTTGAGTCGGTCAGAATCGAAGTCTGAAGTGAGTTGGAGCTCGGCGAGGTGGAAGAGTTTTGGAGGCGGTGGTTGTGGGTAAGAATGGCTGTGGGTTTGGGGTGGTGATGGGTCAGATTCCATCGGTAGTGGTGGTGGTGGGTGAGAGTGGTGTGAGATCGGTGAGTTTGGGAGTTGGAATCTCCACTGGGTAAAGCTTTGGGAAGTGTTGGAAGATGACAGTTCAACCAACACGATATACTTTTCCCAACCCACCACTTCTGATCACTTTATTTTCAGTCAAATCTGACAAAATGTCTGACTCTTTGAAACTCAAATTCAATCCGATTCACGGCCCTTTTTCTTGCAAGTTTTAATTAGGAAGAATGTGAGTAGTGTAGGTGGTGCAAGTAAGACTCTCGCTATAACTATGATTATAGCGAGAAGCCTCGAGTTTTCAAATCTAGAAGAGAAGATCTCAAGGCCGAGTGATGGATTACTTGCACAAAGACCGGTGTTGTTCAAGAAGCTGGCATTGAAAAAAGTATTTTCAAACTCAGCTGGGATTCTTCCAATGAGACAGCTGGAAGACAAATTGAAGATAGTATAAAAGACTGAAATTTCTCTGATATATGTTTAGGAACCTTAGACATTAAAAAATAATTTTGTGAATTTCTTCCATTACGAAAAGTAGGAGAGGGACTCTAGATTAATTTTTTTAAATTATAATTCTCATTATTTAATCCGTCCAAACAAATACACCGCTAAAGTATTACTTCTAAATGTACTCTTTTAACTCTGTTACATGTACAAGTTGATGGCCTATTTCTTTTTCCTCGTGTGTGTGTTCCTTGATCTAGATGCATTCGCTATTTATTTTCTTGTGTTGGTTGTTATTATAATAATATTTGCAAATATATATATATATATATATTAAATAACATAGTACAAAAAATAATAATTTATTCATAAAATATAATTTTAATATTAAAATATATTAAAAATATCAAGGATATTTATAAAATTTCATATAGTTAATTCCATCATAGAATAATAAAACGAACAAGAATTCTTGCTAATCCAATAATTATCAAATAAACACAATTTTCTTAATTTCATCCCTAACAATCTAATTATTAATAATTCTTACACTAATAATTCATCTATAATACATCCGAAAATAAACGAATCCAAAAATTTGACATCCATCCAATTTGGCTATGGGCTACTCAGATTGAGTACGGCCAATAATACCTACCACTATCCACTCTGTTTAAATATGATTTATGCCATGCTTTTTTGAGTTTTTTTGTGAGAGAAGAATGTAATGATTATGGGTTGGATGTGATGTTTTGTTTGTTATGACTAAAATAGCCTATTTTGTTTTTTGTGGCTAAAATAACCAAAAAAAAAGGCCCCAACTATGGCTTCCCAAACGAAGCCAAAATAATTAACTTAAATGATCAGTGTGAAACTCATGATGAATCTACAGACGGTGTGAAACTCTCCATTCCATATCCAGACCAAATAGAAGCTGATTTCAAAACACTCTAAAATTTCCAAATACATTGAACACCAGAAACCCAGAAAATAAAAATAAAAAACATAACAGTTAATTTCGAGATGAACATTGAAAGATTAAAACCAAAAACACCTTCAAAAACCAACAATATATATATATATATATATATAAATTTACATAGAAAACCATTCATTCATATTCATATTTTTGTCTCTTTCTTTTTTTAATTTTTTTTTTTTTGGTTATGAGTTAAGTGGTGAGATCATGGGAGATAGAGTGCCTGATCATTGTCAGTCCACTGAGTTTGTTGACTCCAGTAAGCTTGATCAACGGTTCCAGTAAGATCAAACATGTTTTGATCTCCACCACCTTCCCAATCCAGTGCTTCGACCCCACCATTGTTCGCCCCTGATAAATCGATCTGAGCCGTCTGATCCAGAAACCCGCTGTTGTCCTCGTGTATCTTCTGATTCTGTAAAACCGTTCCGTGATTCTGTTGGTGGAACCGGTACGCCGGAGCCGAAATATCGGAGATGTTGAAGTTGAACCCTAGAAGTGACTGATGATGATCGTTCGATGACGTCATCAGATTCGCGAAACTTCCTATCTCAGGGAAGATCCCGTCGTCCGATGACTGATCCATCAACGGCGGATCAAAGCTAGGGTTTGTAGTTTGCGAAATATTGAAAAACCTCGAGTCCGGAAATGTCGAAGGACTCGCCGACGCTACCTCGGGAGCAGCGGCGGCGGTGGAGGTCATCGTCGCCGCCGTGGTTGAGGCGGTGAGGCTTGAGCTCTCGCTGCTTGAATGAGAGTTCGATTTTCGGTCCGGCGGCGCGTCGGAGGAGGATTTTGGTTTGGAGCGTTTGGTTTTCCGGCAGCCGCCGCCAACGGGGACACAGCGCAGAACGCCGCCTTTGGTCCAGTATCTCCGGCAGCTTTTGCAGAAATGGCGAGGCTGAGAGAGGTTGTAGTTGTTGTAGTAGCAGAACTTGGTGTTGAGAGAGTCGCAGCGAGGGCACTTCAAGGTCTGCTGGTTCTGGTGGTGGTGGTGGTGGTGGTGGTGCGGCCTTAGTCTCCGGTCACCTCCGCCGCCGAACAACCGCCCGCCTCCGCCTCCAATCGAATGTATATCTTGCATTTCAAAGAAATCACTCGATCCAATTCTCGAATCACTACAAATCTATCTCCAACTCGCGATCAAAGATTAGGCGGGGAACTCTGTACTTGAACTTTCCGGCGAATTGTTCGGTGGGAGTTCACATTTTCCGACTGTGAAAGCTCTCTCACTTATTTGTGTTTGTGAGAACGTATATCAAGGGTAAGGACTAAAAAAGGAGTTTCCAAACTCTTGTCAAAAATCTAAAATATTTTATTACGTCAAAATTCTACTAAAATTTTTATCAAATATTTCTTATGAATATGAGATTTACATATGAGTCTAACATTTATGTTAGATATTTAGTAAAAATTTTAATAAAATTTTAAAAATTTATAACATTTTTGTTTATTATTGTAATATATATATATATATATTATAAGAAAAATTTGATTTTTAACTCATAAATCTTAAAAAAATATTTAAAATAAATATAAATTTTTATTAAAAAAATTACACTGTTCATTTCATTAAAATCTAAAAAAAATAATTTCTATATTAAAAAAATATTTAAAATAAATATAAATTTTTATTAAAAAAATTACACTGTTCATTTCATTAAAATCTAAAAAAAATAATTTCTATATTAAAAAAATATTTAAAATAAATATAAATTTTTATTAAAAAAATTACACTGTTCATTTCATTAAAATCTAAAAAAAATAATTTCTATATTAAAAAAATATTTAAAATAAATATAAATTTTTATTAAAAAAATTACACTGTTCATTTCATTAAAATCTAAAAAAAATAATTTCTATATTAAAAAAATATTTAAAATAAATATAAATTTTTATTAAAAAAATTACACTGTTCATTTCATTAAAATCTAAAAAAAATAATTTCTATATTAAAAAAATATTTAAAATAAATATAAATTTTTATTAAAAAAATTACACTGTTCATTTCATTAAAATCTAAAAAAAATAATTTCTATATTAAAAAATAACTAAAACAAATATAAATTTTTATTAAAAAATAACAGGTTGCAATTGCGAGAAAAAAAAAATTAGACTATAAAAAATAATTTGTATATTAAAAAAATATTTAAAAGAAATGTAAATTCTTATTAAAAAATAACACGTTGCAATTGCGGAAAAAAAATTCCACTGTGCCTTTCATTAATAATACACAAAAAAATGTTCCAAGTATTTTTGTAAAGGCTTGACACATGTCCACTCTCAAATTATCAAGTAAATATAGATAAAACCAAATAACTCAGTTTTCATGGCTAACAATTATTAGAAACTCGACTATTAATTCATAGAATTCAACAATTGAAATGTCTCAAACCACATCTCTTTGTCTTCTCAAATATTTCTGTTTTTGGTTCATGCATTCATTCTAATATTGAAAAAGAATGAAACGTGTGGAAGAGTGAGAGATATTAAAATTATATATTGAGTTATGTAATTGTTGTGATGAAAAATAAAGATTGTCTTCCTCTTCTATAGCGATTTATCCAGTTTTACCTCCAATTAAACCGTCAAGTGTACAAAAAATATACACAAAAAGTATAGGAATAAACAAGATTTTATAAAATTTAATTGTGAGTCTCACTTCTTGAAAATCCTAAAATTTATTTATTTTTTGTATTATATTTTATATTTAGTTTATGTACTTTTTTTTTTATAGTTTTCTTTGTTTTTTTTTAAAATTTGTTTTTAAAAATTAATTAATTAATAAATAAATAACTCATTTTATATTTCAAACAATTTCATTTTTGTTTTTATTTTTTATTTTTCTTAATATAGTTTTAGTTTTGGGCAATTATTAATTTTTTTTTTCTATATATTGTTATTTTGTGCATTTTAAGCGTATGGTATTTTCATTAATACACTCGAAAATGCACTATGAATGACGTATCGTGCGAAAATCAAGCAAGAAGAAGAAAAATAAATAAAACATTACGATCAATATAGAGTAAAGATCAAAAATCAAAAATCCAAAAACAAGCAAGTAAACAAACAAAGCAGAATAGAATGTTTAACAATAGACATTTGAAAATTTAAAACAAAATTTTATAATTTTTCTTTTTGCTAAGTAAATTTTGTTTGGTACTAGCTAAATAAAATGTTTTAAAATATATATATACTAGCGTATGCCCGTGCCTAAAGGCACGGTATAAATAATATTAAGATTAAAATACAGTTATAAAAATATATTTAACAGAATTGTTTACCGATTGAGTGTTAAAGAAGGTTGCCTTGGATTGATACATTTCTTTGATTTCTCTCGTTCTCGTCGCAGGCGCTGTCCTAATTGGTATGCAGAACATGGGTTTTGTTTTTTTTCACGTTCTCGCCGTGCACGTTGAGTCAATGCAATTTTTAATAACACATTATCATTGTGTGCCTAAAATGAGAATATTATATAATTAGGTGCATAAAATGTGAAGATTATCCCCTCTTGCTTTCCTTTTATCATGTATTTGTTCTTAAAAGTTTAACTAACTTTTCTTATTCGCTCGGTTGAGTTGTTAATCACATAAAAACCAATGTGTGCATTGATGAAATTTAAAAAGGGAGGAAAAAAATAATTTGAAAACACATTACACACACAAAGCTGCAAACTGCAACCTGCAAATTGTTTGTTGTCCTTTTCTTCTTTCCTTAAGAACTTATAAGTAAAATAAAAATTTTAAAAAACCTATTTTATATAATTAAAAAATTCATTTAATTAATTTTAAAAATCTATTTCAAATTAATGTTCAGACAAATGCGTTAACATGTATAAATGCTTACTTTAACATAGTTTAGAAAAATATTTCAAAATCAGTCAAAACAATTGAATAAATATTTTAAAAACAATAACTCATAAAAATGTACATAAAAAATAGTATATGACACTATGCAATTCTTTAAAAAATATCTGTATAAAAACAAAAATTTAATAAATATTTGGAAAACAAACTTTTTAAAAATGTTAAGAAACCATACCACAGGATTTGTATGTTTCTTTCCTTTGCCAGAAGCGATAGCCTTTTTTATCTCCTTTGATGTTGCTTTGTGTTTTTTCTTTGCCTTTGCTTATAAAAAAATAAGTAAAATCTATTTATAAATAATGTACAAAATGATAAGAAAATGCATTCGTATATTAGTTACTTTTAGGCTTACCTCATGAATATGAATAGTATTAAGGTCACGTTCATCGTGAACAACATTAACATTTCTTTGTTGAAGAAATTGAATCTATATATACAAAAACTTTAAAGTGATAAATAAAACTTTGTACAGATAAATAAGAAAAAAATTTATTTTTTTCTTTATATTACCGTTCGGTGTAAGTCTTCATCCACTTATAAAGTAGTTGTTTAAAGCATTTATTAGAAGAAAATTAAATATGATAAGTTTAAAATAAATAAATAAATAAGCTTTATTTTAAATAAATAGACCTTACATTATAAGAGAAGTATTTAAATTTATATGGAGGGGGAGAAAAAAAAAAAAAAAACCTTACTTGTCCGAAAATGGTGATATTGTCCATAACTGTTTTACTTCAACCTAAAAATATTTGGTTATATAATTATGATGGTTGAATGATGTATTTTAACAATTACATTAAAATGATAAAATTAAAATCAGCCCTACCAACATAAAATGTACTAAAATAGGAGCACAACAATTGTCCAAATTTAAACTCTTCTCTTCCCCAACTAACTTCAATTTTATAGTCTTCAAATTAAATTTATAATTATCATTTAAAAAGTCCAAACATAATTTTATGACAAAAAAAAAAAAACTGTTTAATCAGCAATTTAAACAGTTGGTAATGAAAGAAAAAAACTTGATATTTGTTATTAGACAAATGAGACACTTGGTAATGGAAAAAAAAAGAGAAAAAGAAAAGAAGCATCAGACATCAGCCATACCTATATATATAATGAACAACCATCAGCCAAACCATACCTACACATGAATAACTATTTATATAATGAACAACCATCAGCCAAACCTTACCTACATATGAATAACTTACAAAGCAAGACCATAATGAGGAGTTCACGCAAACCATATCTATATAATATTCATACACCCAATTAAATTCTTTCAGACCTTGAACCCAAAGTAATAAAACTCAAGGATGTCAAACCTCAAAAACATGTTCAAAGTGCTTCTTTGGAGTCCTTTAGCGACAATTGTTTAAAGCTGAATTCAAGTTATTAATTAAGAAAATAAACACACATGTTTCAAGTTGTATGCATATGAATAAGTTGATTGGGTCGATTATATGGTTTTTTATATATTAAATTCAATATCTATCCGAAATAAGAATTAAATTCATCAATCTCAACCACAGCCGAGTCATTGAAACCGCCCCCATGTATTATGCTGATCAAGTCGATTCTTCAAGCAATCCCAACACTACTTAAATTTATTTTTTAATTTGATAAAATTAAATTTAATCCCAACACTATTTAATCCCAATACTATTTAAATTTATTATAAATATAATCCCAATACTATTTAGAACCAATACGAAATCTAGGTAACAATTAAGCATATCAAATTCAAAACTTATAACATATTGTAAAGATGAATTAATTGCAACCTATCAGGATTACAAAACAACATAATAAAGCATTCAATATGGCTTCACATAGATTTGAAATAAACATGGGACTTTAAAAACCAAATCCATTAGGTACATGAGCAAGGTTGACCAAGCATGTGAAAACCAAGCTCAGCCTAGATGGGCTTGGATTCAGTTCAGACCAAGTTTAATTAAGCTGAAGTTGAACAATTTAGTGACCAATTAATCTAGAGCTGAAGCTATCAATAAGTCAGTAAGTTTCATTTGCAGAAATATACAGCTATGTATGAATTCACACACATATATATAGACACATTTAATAAATACCTTCAATTGTTCAGTAAAAGTAAATCAAAGCCCCCCCACATTAAAAAAAATACCTAGAAGCACACAAAATTTAACTGAATATTTGAAATAGCCTATTATAATATGGTACAAATATATGGAAGATAGCCCCGTTGGACTACCCCTGTGCAGCTCCCCAGGTAACCTAAAATAAGTTAGATTGGAAGCACCTTTTAAAACCAATACGAAAGAATATCATCTAGGTAACAATTAAGCATATCAAATTCAAAACTTATAACATATTGTAAACACACAATTTAATTCTAACCATTCATCTCTATGATACATATTGAAACACACAAAACAAATGGTATTCTTCTGAATTCTGGTAATTATTTATGGTAATTATGGTAATCAAGTTAGGATTGATTATGGTAATTTCAAGTTACAATCCATCTTATTAAGCCAATAATTCACGTGCTGCATGGATTCACGTGCTGCATGGATTGCAAATTTCAATCTATCGACCATCTTATTTATGGTAATTTCAATCTATCGACCATCTCCCAAAAATTCACGTGCTGCATGGATTGCAAATTTCAATCCATCTTGTTAAGCCAACAACAAACAAATTCATAACCTAACAGCATGTTCAAGATTATCACACCTTCAAATATACAAACTACAAACTATCCTCACAAATGAATTTTAATACTTAATGTTATTAACCCAGATCTGTAAGTTGAGACAACTCTAAGGAACCAATAAAAAAAAAGAAAGGCACTTCATAATCAGTAGAAGAGCAATCACGGGCCTTAAGAACATCTAAATCAACATGTCAACTCAAATCTATCAAAAGATATTAAAAGATATTATGCGCACATGATAATAGAACATCCATAAAACTTCTCAACTTATTATATAGATTTTGTTAAATGCAAACATAGCTAGTTAAATTATTGTAGTCTGAGCACAAAGAGGTTTCTTAATTAGAAAAGTGGCAGAACTGAAACAAAGGCATACCTTCCCACTAAATGCAGCAATTCTGGTAAATCTATCATCTTTTCCATTACGTTGTCATCCAAAGGCATACATTTTGAATCTGTAAGGACCTGAAGAGCATTTCTATATAATTGACTGCCTTTATCAGCATTCCCTGTATGAAAATGGCACATGACCCCACACTCAAAAACTTGAAATAGATCTCCATCTATGAATGAACTTTTAAATTTAAAGTTCACCGCAATCCACTCATAGTAGAATGAGCAACTTTTTGACCCCACACAAGTACTGGTGTTAACATGATCCTACTAATTTAAATAAAATCAGGAAGAAAACTACTTGCATACAATGAAGAATACGAAGTTCACCTTATGCACATTTCACATGGGCCAACAAACACAGCCATTCAAAAACTCTTCCATTATTCTCGCAGTTCCTTATGTCTAACACTCAAGTGGTGTTTTAGTCACTCGAGTGGTCTGTTCATTTATCAGTAAGGGAAAAAGAAATTTTCTTTCACTTTTTAATCTATCTCTCTCTCTCTCTCTCTCTCTAAAATGTAACTTTACCAAATTCCTTTACACTCTCTCTGTAGTTCTTGTCTAAACACCCCTATACACTTAAATTCATTGGTCTCACCACCGTAGTGCTTTGGAGAAAAGTGTAGAGCTCGTAAAGGTGAACATTTTAGTTATAAAAGTTTTCAATTTTGGCTTCGTCAACAATTGGGTTTTGTTCTTCTCTCCTTCGACTCTTGAAACAAGGATTTCTTCAACCTCCTTGTATGATTCTTAGCCTCGTTATGTGTTCCTTGAAAAGTGTAGTGATTTCGAAGGTGTAAGTTGATTTAGGGTTTGGTTTTTGGGAGTATAAAAGAGGGGTTTTCAAATAGATCCATTGAAAATGTTGTGGAAATGAATATATTGTTAAGTTGTGTTAAAACATTAGAAATTTCTCCTTAAATGTGTTTTTGAAAGGAATAGATGTTTTGTTGGAAATCATTGGTTTTGAACTAAGAATAAAAAGAAATATGTTGAGTTTTTTTGAAAAGATAAAATAAATATATCTGTCGATGATGAGAGTGGAATTAGATATGTATTATCACTCTTATATTAAGATTATGAAATTGTAATTATTGTTGGAGATTTATCTTTTGTATAAAGATATCAGTTTTGGGCTATTGGTAGAAGATAGTTTTGATTGTTGTAAAAATTACATGATAATTAGGTTAATTGGAACCGATTACTCATACATTTTGTATTAAACATTATTCCATATTTATACATTAGCGTATGCCCGTGCCTAAAGGCACGGTATAAATAATATTAAAATTAAAATACAGTTATAAAAATATATTTAACAGAGTTGCTTATCAATTGAGTGTTAAAGAAGGTTGTCCTGGATTGATACATTTCTTTGATTTCTCTCGTTCTCGTCACAGGCGCTGTCCTAATTGGTATGCAGAACATGGGTTTTGTTTTTTTTCACGTTCTCGCCGTGCACGTTGAGTCAATGCAATTTTTAATAACACATTATCATTGTGTGCCTAAAATGAGAATATTATATAATTAGGTGCATAAAATGTGAAGATTATCCTCTCTTGCTTTCCTTTTATCATGTATTTGTTCTTAAAAGTTTAACTAACTTTTCTTATTCGCTCGGTTGAGTTGTTAATCACATAAAAACCAATGTGTGCATTGATGAAATTTAAAAAGGGAGGAAAAAAATAATTTGAAAACACATTACACACACAAAGCTGCAAACTGCAACCTGCAAATTGTTTGTTGTCCTTTTCTTCTTTCCTTAAGAACTTATAAGTAAAATAAAAATTTTAAAAAACCTATTTTATATAATTAAAAAATTCATTTAATTAATTTTAAAAATCTATTTCAAATTAATGTTCAGACAAATGCGTTAACATGTATAAATGCTTACTTTAACATAGTTTAGAAAAATATTTCAAAATCAGTCAAAACAATTGAATAAATATTTTAAAACAATAACTCATAAAAATGTACATAAAAAATAGTATATGACACTATGCAATTAATGTGTATTAAAAAATTGTATAAAAAAAATGTGTAAGAGAAGATTAGAGAGAAGTGGGCCCAGCCGTACAACCTGCGTGTGTGAATTGGAGTAGGAAATTATTGGCTAATTTTTGGGCATTGTACTAGACAGTTTGTTTGGCCCGCGGGGGTCATAATGGGTCCCATTTTAATAATCTGAACCGTTCAATGTGTGTAATGCGTCGAACACTATGTACCTATAAAAAATCACGTTAATCGGATATCGATAGATATCTGATCAGATTTATTTATTTTTCAATCATAAATTATAACACCATCCATTAGTTGTACATAACTGACTTGATCATATAGTTATCGATATCTGATCAATGTGATTTTTTGCAAATATATAATACCTGATGATTTCTACACATTGAACGGTTCAGATTGTCAAAATGGGACCCGTGATAACCCCCATGAAACGAACAACGGTGTGTGTAAAAAGCACACCCAATCATTTCTTGTTTTCCCCACTGCCACACAGCAGCTGCACGGGTCATCAATTCCGTGTGTAATTTTGTTGAAATAAATTGATTTTTTAATTTTTTTTGATGAATAGTGATATCTTTTTGGATTTTGAAGTAACTTTTTGACTTTTTGACTTATACAGTAGATGCCAAACAAGCCCTAAATATCAACATTAATGGGATCAAAAGAGATTGATGGTGTTTTGGTATTCTTATCTCAAATAGGACCTAACGAAATAGTTAAAAAGAATATGGATTAAATGAAATAATTTTTTTTTAAAAAAAAACTTATCAAAAAAAGTTTCTAGCCCCACCAACATAAAAGGTATTAAAATAGGAGCACAACAATTGTCCAAATTTAAACTCTTCTCTTCCTACCAACATAAAAGGTATTAAAATAGGAGCTCAACAATTGTCCAAATTTAAACTCTTTTCTTCCCCAACTAACTTCAATTTTATAGTCTTCAAATTAAATTTATAATTATCATTTAAAAAGTCCAAACATAATTTTATGACCCAAAAAAAAACTGTTTAATCAGCAATTTAAACAGTTGGTAATGAAAGAAAAAAACTTGATATTTGTTATTAGACAAATGAGACACTTGGTAATGGAAAAAAAAAAAAAAGAAAAAGAAAAGAAGCATCAGACATCAGCCATACCTATATATATAATGAACAACCATCAGCCAAACCATACCTACACATGAATAACTATATATATAATGAACAACCATCAGCCAAACCATACCTACACATGAATAACTATATATATAATGAACAACCATCAGCCAAACCATACCTACACATGAATAACTATATATATAATGAACAACCATCAGCCAAACCATACCTACACATGAATAACTATATATATAATGAACAACCATCAGCCAAACCTTACCTACATATGAATAACTTACAAAGCAAGACCATAATGAGGAGTTCACGCAAACCATATCTATATAATATTCATACACCCAATTAAATTCTTTCAGACCTTGAACCCAAAGTAATGAAACTCAAGGATCTCAAACCTCAAAAACAGGTTCAAAGTGCTTCTTTGGAGTCCTTTAGCGACAATTGTTTAAAGTTGAATTCAAGTTATTAATTAAGAAAATAAACACACATGTTTCAAGTTGTATGCATATGAATAAGTTGATTGGGTCGATTATATGGTTTTTTATATATTAAATTCAATATCTATCCGAAATAAGAATTAAATTCATCAATCTCAACCACAGCCGAGTCATTGAAACCGCCCCCATGTATTATACTGATCAAGTCGATTCTTCAAGCAATCCCAACACTACTTAAATTTATTTTTTTAATTTGATAAAATTACAAATTTAATATAAAATTTAATCCCAACACTATTCAAATTCAAAACTTATAACATATTCTAAAGATGAATTAATTGCAACCTATCAAGATTACAAAACAACATAATAAAGCATTCAATATGGCTTCACATAGATTTGAAATAAACATGGGACTTTAAAAACCAAATCCATTAGGTACATGAGCAAGGTTGACCAAGCATGTGAAAACCAAGCTCAGCCTAGATGGGCTTGGATTCAGTTCAGACCAAGTTTAATTAAGCTGAAGTTGAACAATTTAGTGACCAATTAATCTAGAGCTGAAGCTATCAATAAGTCAGTAAGTTTCATTTGCAGAAATATACAGCTATGTATGAATTCACACACATATATATAGACACATTTAATAAATACCTTCAATTGTTCAGTAAAAGTAAATCAAAGCCCCCCCACATTAAAAAAAAAACCTAGAAGCACACAAAATTTAACTGAATATTTGAAATAGCCTATTATAATATGGTACAAATGTATGGAAGATAGCCCCGTTGGACTACCCCTATGCATCTCTCCAGGTAACCTAAAATAAGTTAGATTGGAAGCACCTTTTAAAACCAATACGAAAGAATATCATCTAGGTAACAATTAAGCATATCAAATTCAAAACTTATAACATATTGTAAACACATAATTTAATTCTAACCATTCATTTCTATGATACATATTGAAACACACAAAACAAATGGTATTCTTCTGAATTCTGGTAATTATTTATGGTAATTCTGGTAATCTAGTTAGGATTGATTATGGTAATTTCAAGTTACAATCCATCTTATTAAGCCAATAATTCACGTGCTACATGGATTCACGTGCTGCATGGATTGCAAATTTCAATCTATCGACCATCTTATTTATGGTAATTTCAATCTATCGACCATCTCCCAAAAATTCACGTGTTGCATGGATTGCAAATTTCAATCCATCTTATTAAGCCAATAACAAACAAATTCATAACCTAATAGCATGTTCAAGATTATCACACCTTCAAATATACAAACTACAAACTATCCTCACAAATGAATTTTAATACTTAATGTTATTTACCCAGATCTGTAAGTAGAGACAACTCTAAGGAACCAATAAAAAAAAAGAAAGGCACTTCATAATCAGTAGAAGAGCAATCACAGGCCTTAAGAACATCTAAATCAACATGTCAACTCAAATCTATCAAAAGATATTAAAAGATAATAGAACATCCATAAAACTTCTCAACCTATCAATTTATTTTGTTAAATGCAAACATAGCTAGTTAAATTATTGTAGTCTGAGCACAAAGAGGTTTCTTAATTAGAAAAGTGGCAGAACTGAAACAAAGGCATACCTTCCCACTAAATGCAGCAATTCTGGTAAATCTATCATTTTTTCCATTACGTTGTCATCCAAAGGCATACATTTTGAATCTGTAAGGACCTGAAGAGCATTTCTATATAATTGACTGCCTTTATCAGCATTCCCTGTATGAAAATGGCACATGACCCCACACTCAAAAACTTGAAATAGATCTCCATCTATGAATGAACTTTTA